TTCTATCTCCTTTCAAAGAGAATGGGCTGCCTGTCTGGGTGCCTGGTGTCCTCTGCCAGCGTTCAGAAGTTGTTTTGTGGAATTTGCTCATCTTTCAAATGATCTTTCAGTGAATTTGTGGGGTAGAAGGTGGTATCCCCATCCTATTTCTCCACCATCTTAGGACCACCTCATCCATGCAATTTTCCAAACAAGAATACTGGAGTGGATTGTCATTTCCCCCTGGACTTTGACCCTAAGTTTATCTGACTCTAGAGCCTGAGTTATTCAGTTCAGTTCAGTCACTCAGTTGTGTCCAACTCTGCGACCCCATGGACTGCAGCACACCAGGCTTCCCTGTCAATCACCATCTCCCAAAGCTTGCTCAAATTCATGTCCATCGAGTCAGTGATGCCATCCAGCCATCTCACCCCCTGTTGTCCCCTTCTCCTCCTGCCTTCAATCTTTCCCAGCATCAGGGTCTTTTAAAATGAGTCAGTTCTTTGAATCAGGTGGCCAAAGTATTGGAGTTTCAGCTTCAGCATCAGTCCTTCCAATGAATATCCAGGGCTGGTTTCCTTTAGGATTGACTGGTCGGATCTCCTTGCAGTTCTTAATCAATTTAATTATGTTGCTCGTATCTCAACCCTTGTTTTACCTCATGTTCTCTAATTTAGAAAGAACTAATGAGATAGGACACAGTGAGCCTCTGAGCTGGACACCTGGTATTTATCAGATGGAGTAAAATGAAGCCTTTTTTTCTCACCCAGACACTGCAAGGACAAAGCTGGTGGCAAAAGCTGAGCTCTGCTAAAGCAAGAGGATAAAATGCCTACTCCTGAGATCAAGGAGGGCTTCCCTGTCTTCACATGTGCAGGAAGGCTTCTTGGGGATCAAAAAAGGAGGGGACTCCATCCCTTAATAAGTGTGGGCATGCACCCATAGGCCTCTGTGGTGCAATTCGTCTCACAAAACAATTGCACAAGAATCTTGAGGAGGGTCCATGGACCAGTCAGGCGTGTAGAAAGAAACAAGATAGTTGGCCAAAGGTAAACCAGTCCATCTTAAAGGAGATCAGTCCTGGGTGTTCATTGGAAGGACTGATGCTGAAGCTGGAACTCCAAACTTTGGCCACCTCATGCAAAGGGTTGACTCATTGGAAAAGACCCTGATGCTGGGAGGGTTTGAGGGCAGGAGGAGAAGGGGACAACAGAGGATGAGATGGGTGGATGGCATCACCGACTCGATGGGCATGGGTTTGGGTAGACTCCAGGAGTTGGTGATGGACAGGGAGGCCTGGCGTGCTGCGACTCATGGGGTTGCAAGGAGTTGGACACGACTGAGCGACTGAACTGAACTGAACTGAAACAAAGACCAGGAAGGACTGTCCTCTATAAGTGATTTACATTACCTCTTTACTGCGCTCCTCCTAACTAAGGATGCCCTGACTTCTCTCCCACTCTGTCTCTGCCTGGTTTCTGACTTGCTACACTCCTGCTCATTAGAGAGGATGCCCATACCCTTTCTCACTGGGTGTATATCTCTGCCCTGCTTCTGAATTAGATAAACAAACTGTTTTCCTGTGTACTTTCCCATATATTGTGCTGAGTCTCTACTAATAAACTTTGTACCTATTTTTACAGTTTTTTGCTTCCTTGAAACTTCTTGCTTTTAAACAGTGGCAAGATCCAGGGCCACTTTGCTTCTAGCCTCTAGCCCTGGTGGTTTAGTGGTGAGGACTCCTGGTTTTTATCTGGGTTACCCAGGTTTACTTCCTGGGCAGGAAACTGAGCTCTCACTTTAAGATTGCTCACTTCTCTCCTGAGATTGCTATTAAAGTATAACTTATTGTACTTGCTTCAAAAACAAGGAAACTGAGGCTTAAATAGATTACTTCACTAAATGTCATGTAGGTAATTAGTGTCTAGCTAACCTACAGCTAGAAAATCCTAGTCTAGTGTTATCTTGACCACAGCCATAGTTTCAAAAAGTTTATAATCTAATTGAGGTGAGAATATTATTACACTTGAAAATAATAGATTACTTTTTCAGATTTTTCTAAGATTCTGACACCTTTTAAATATTTGTTTAAATTGCAGTCCAAATAATTGGACTGTAATTATCTAATTTATGGATCCTTAATATAAAACATGCATTGGTCAATCCACAGGTAGATAAAATCAATTTTTTTCTAGCTGCTTTCACCCATCTTCTGGTGTTGCATATTGAAAATATAAACTGATAAGCTAAATGTGATAAAAAGAAATCCCAAAAATAAAAGTGAAGGTCATAGGTAAATAAAAAGTTCTCTGTGTGCTGCTCATCTCATGTTCACTCCCAAATGAGCAAAGTCAGCTTGTGTGCATGTTGTGTCTCTTCAGTCGCATCTGACTCTTTGCGAGCCTAAGGACTTCTATGGGATTCTCCAGGTAAGAATACTGGAGTGGGTTGCTATGCTCTCCTCCAGGGGATCTTCCAAACCCAGGGATCAAAGCCACATCTCCTCCACTGGCAGTCGAATTCTTTTACCACTGAGCAACCAAGGAAGCCCTTGCTAAATCTCCCAGACCCAGAATTAAGTCTATTTGCTCCTGAAACTGCAGACTCTAAATTATAATGATTTATTTTCTTAATCAAAGAACAGTTGGTTGCAAAAACTTTAGTTTATCTTTTTTACAAAATGCATTTCCTGAAAGCAGTCCAAAACTCACTGATAATATTAACTCACTTTCTTAACTTCTTTGCTTATAAGTCATAGTGATGTTTAGAATTTATGTTGCACTTTAAATTTTTACACCAAGTGCTATCATTTTAGGATCATTGAACTGCAGTCGCCGTTATGTCTGACATGAACACATAGTCCTTGCTCCTCCTCCATAGCCTATTGTTAGGCATAAAAAAAATACTGTAGTAAAATATACATAACGTAAAAGTTACTGTATCTACAATTTTTAAGTGTACAATTCAGTATTAAGTGCCTTCACATTTTTCTGCAACTAATCTCCAAAACTCTTTCAATTTTGTTGTTGTTTTCAGTCTCTAAGTCATTTCTGACTCTCTGTGATGCCATGAACTGTAGCATGCCAGGCTCCTTTGTCTTCCACTGTCTTCCAGAGTTTGCTCAATTTCATGTTCACTGAGTCAGTGATGCTGTCTAACTATCTTATTCTCTGTTGCCCTCTTCTCCTTTTGCCTTCAATCTTTCCCAGCATCAGGTTCTTTCCCATTGTGTCAGATGTTTGCATCAGGTGGTCAAAGTATGGGAGCTTCAGGAACAGTCCTTCCAATGAGCATTCGGGACTGATTTCCTTTAGGATTGACAGATTTGATCTCCTTACCATCCAAGGGACTCTCAAGAGTCTTCTTTAGCACCACAATTTAAAAGCATCACTTCTTCCACACTCAGCCTTCTTTATGATCCAACTCTCACATCTGTACATGACTGCTAGAAAAACCATAGCTTCACTATATGGACCTTTGTCAGTAAAGTGATGTCTCTGCTTTTTAATATGTTCTCTGACTGTGCTCAGTTGTGTCCTACTCTTTGCAGCCACATGGACTGTATCCCACCAGGCTTCTCTGTCCGTGGAATTTTCCAAGCAGAATACTGGAGTGAGTTGTCATTTCCTAATCCAGTAGATCTTTCCCACCCAGGAATCAAACCTGTGTATCTTTTGTCTCCTGCGTTGGCAGGCAGATTCTTTACTGTCAGTGCCACCTGGGAAGTCCAATATGCTATCTAGGTATGTCATAGTTTACTTCCAAGGAGTAAGTGTCTTTTAATTTCATGGCTATAGTCACAATCCACAGTGATTTGGGAGCCCAAGNGTTTTAATTTCATGGCTATAGTCACAATCCACAGTGATTTGGGAGCCCAAGAAAATAAACTCTGTCACTGCTCCCATTTTCCCCCCTTCTATTTGCCATGAAGTAATGAGACTGGATGCCATGATCTTAGTTTTTTGAATGTTGAGTTTCAAGCTTTTGTCACTCTCCTCTTCCACCCTCATCAAGAGGCTCTTTAGTTCCTCTTCACTTTCTGCCATTAGATTGGTATCACCTGCATATCTGAGCATATCATAGCAGTCATTGTTATTTCTCCCAACTATCTTGATTCCTGCTTCTGATTCATCCAGTCTGGTATTTTGCATGATGTAAAATGGCAACCCACTCCAGTACTCTTGCCTGGAAAATCCCATGATGGAGGAGTCTGGTAGGCTACAGTCCATGGGGTCCCAAAGAGTTGGACACGACTGAGCGACTTCACTTTCACTTTTCACTTTCACTATGCATATAAGTTAAATAAACAGGCTAACAATATCCAGTCTTGTCATACTCCTTTCCTAATTTTGAACCAGTTGGTTGTTCCATGTCTGATTTAACTGTTGCTTCTTAACCTGCATACAGGTTTCTCAGGAGACATGTAAGGTGTCTGGTATTCCTGTCTCTTTAAGAATTTAATTAATTTAAAAGTTACAAAACTAAAACTCTGTCCCCATCAAAAAATAACCTTCCCCCTTCCCCATTTCACCCAATCTGTGCTAACTACCATCATACTCTTTGTCTCTGTAATTTTGACTAGTCTAAGTATCCCAGCAAAGACCCTGATGCTGGGAAAGGTTGAGGGCAGGAGGTGAAGGGGACTACAGAGGATGAGACTCTTGGATGGCATCACCGACTCAATGGACATGGGTTTAGGTGGACTCCGGGAGTTGGTGATGGACAGGGAGGCCTGGCGTGCTGCAGTTCATGGGGTCACAAAGAGTCGGACACGACTGAGCGACTGAACTGAATTGAACTGAAGTATCTAATATAAATATTAATCTCAAATGCAGTAGTTGCCTTTTTGTGCATGGCTTCTTTCAACTAGCATAATGTCCTTGGGGTTGATCCATATTGTTGCATGTGTCAGAATTTTCTCACTTTTTAAGGATAATGAATGTTGGATATACCACAATTTGCTTGTCTGTTAGCTGTTGATGGACATTTGGGTAACTTCCACATTTTGGCTAATGCGAATAATGCCAAACAAGGTTATAAAAATGTATCTTGGAGATTTTGCTTTCAATTCTTTTGGGTATGTACTCAGAAGTAGAATTGTTGGTATGTAAAGTAATTCTAATTTTAATTTTTTGAGGAACTGCCATACTGTTTTTTTATCATTACTGTACCATTTTACCTGCCCAACCACAGTTCATAAGGGTCTAATTTCTTTTTTTTTTTTTTTTGCTTGATTTTTTTTCCATTTATTTTTATTAGTTGGAGGCTAATTACTTTACATCATTACAGTAGTTTTTGTCATACATTGAAATGAATTAGCCATGGATTTACATGTATTCCCCATTCTCCACATTCTCACCAAAACTTGTCACTTTTTGTGTTTTGATAATATTCATAGCATAGGTGCTTATTAGCCAATGTTATACCAAGTGTTTCATTAATTAGGTCAAGAACTCACTACAAATCTTTTAGAGAGTTAACTGAGAATCTATTGAATATTTATATGGGGCAAAAATATCACCAGTATATACTGGGATATTGTTACATTCATTTTCAGTATTGCTTTAATAAACTCCATGAAAATTGGATCACCATTACTAATAGATATATTTGAAGAAAAAATAGTATTATCAGAAATGTTTTTTTCACTTCAGAATCATATAGTATAAAGTTTTACCTTCTATAATCATCTTACTTTTTAGGAATTGGAAAATAATTGAGTCTATTTAATATGTTCATAGGTTTTTGGAGGCCTATTTTTCTATCATCTCCACATAGCCAAAGAAAGGAAACTGAAGAACGACACTCTGTGCAACAAATTGATAACAAAGGTGAGTACATTCAATAGAAATTACCAAAGGATTTTATATATTTTATTCAATATTTAGAAATTTTAAGCCTGACTTCTTGTATTTGGGATCTCTAAGACAATATCCAAGTCCAATAATTCTCTAGGAGGATTCACTGAACTCAGCACATAATAATACTCAAGACTATGATTTATTACAATGAAAGGATACAAAATAAAATTAAATTAATAAAAGGAAAAGGCATATAATTTGAAGTCTAGTGGAAACTAAGTAAGTATTAATACAAGGTTCTAAAGTCCACTCCCATTGGAGTCACACAAGACTCATCTAATTTATCTACCAAAAACTATGATGATATGTATGAAATGTTGTCTACCAGGAAAGCTCACTAGAGTTATCAGTTCCCAGGGTGTTTTTTGCCCAGGGTATTTTTTAACAGCTTTATTGAGATATAATTTACCAATTAAGCTACACAAGTAATGGTTTTAAGTATAGATATTTACAACAATAACACCTGTTTTGGATAATTTTTATCACCATAGAAGTTAACACTATACTCTGTGGTTATCACCTACTTACTCCTTCAACTGCCTACAGTTGAAGAACTGCAGTCTTTTTTCCAAAGTGACTGTATAATTTTCCCTCTAGTCTTAAGAAACCACTGATCTACTTAAGTATCTATAGATTCCTCTGTCCTGGACATTTCATATGAACAGAATCATATAATACATAGACTTTTATAACTATATTCATTTAATTTGTATAGTGCTTTCAAGGTTAATCTATATTGTAGCATGTATCAGTACTTAATTCTTTTCATGACTGAGTAACATTCCATTGTATGGATATACTGCATTTTGTTTAGATATTTGCCAGTTGATGGATGTATGAGTTAGTTACACATTTTGCTTATTATGAATAACGATGCTATGAACATTTGTTTACATAGAGGTATATTTCCATTTCTCTTAGATATATACCTAGGAATGGAGTTGCTGCATCATATGGTTATTTGATGTTTCATTGCTTGAAAAACTGCAGATTTTTCCCAAAGTGACTGCATAATTTTATATTCCCACCTATAGTGTATGAGGATTCCTATTCCTCCACATCCTCTTTGACACTTGTCATTATTTGACTTCTATATAGCCATGTTGGTGGTTATGAAATAATATTAAATTAATAGTTTTAACATCTATTTCCTTGATGACTAATGATATTGAGCATCTTTTTATGTACTTTTTGGCCACTATATATCTTTCTTGGATAACTGTCTACTGGGATCCTATTTTTTACATATATATATATATATGTATATATTTATATGTGTATATATATATATATCTGTTATTGAGTTATGAGTTTCTATATATCCTGAAAGCATATTTTTATCATATATATTATTTGCAAATATTTTATTCCATTCTGTGGATTGTCTTTGCATTTTATTCATGGTGTCCTTTGAAGCACAAATTTGAAAAATTTTGTTGACATCAAAATTACCTGTCTTTATTCAACTCATAATATAGATGTCATATATAAGAATCACTTGCCAAATCCAAGATTGTGAAGATTTACACATATTTTTTTAAGAATACTATAATTTTAATTCTTAAATTTGGTAGTTTGATCCATTTTGAATTACTTTTTGTGTATGGTGTCATGTTAGGGAACAATTCTTTTCCATGTGGATGTCCAGTTGACCCAATATCACTTGAAGAGTCTATTATTTCCCCATGGAATGGTCTTGGTATCCTTGTCAAAAATCAGTTGGCCAGAGACCCATGGTTTTATTCATTTGAAAGTGAAAGTCACTCAGTCATGTCTGACTCTTTGAGACCCCATGGACTGTAGCTTGTAGGCTTCCCAGTCCATGGAATTCTCCCAGCAAGAATACTAGAATGGGTAGCCATTCTGTCCTCCAGGGCATCTTCCCAACCCAGGGACTGAATCTGGGTCTTCTTCATTGAAGGTAGATTCTTTACCAAGTCAGCTATCAGAGAAGAACTGATATGAAGAAAGGATATTCTTTACACCCAATGTTGTTGGGAAAATTATATATCGAAGTACAAAAGAAAAAAAATGTTAATTTTAATTCATTTCTTGTATCATATACAAAATTAACTCAAATGGAGAATAGAACTAAATATAAATCCTAAAAATATATACTACTAGATGAAGAAAAATCTTTGTGACCTTGAGTTAGATGAAGATTTATCATTTACTACAAGAAGAGCATTATCCATATAAGAAACATTTGATAAAAATTGGACTTCAACACAATTTAAAAGTTCCATTTTCCAGAAAATTTTAAAGGAATGAAAGGATGCTATACACTATGAAAACGATTTTCAGCTCATATATCTGGTAAAGCACTGTATCTAGAATATGAAAAGGATACTCAAAACTCAATAATAGGAAAAAAACTAAATTTAAAATGGACAAATGGTTTAGATAGACATGTTACCAAATTGGGCTTCCCTGGTGGCTCAGTGGCAAAGAATCCACCTGCCAATGCAGGAGATGTGGGTTTGCTCTCTGAGTTGGGAAGATCACGTGGAGAAGGAAATGGTGACTCACTCCAGGATTCTTGCCTAGAGAATCCCATGGACAGAGGAGCCTGGCGGGCTACAGTCCATGGGGTCACAAGAGTCAGACATAACTTAGTAACTAAAAAACAATAACAACAACAATGTGTCATTTAAGGCCAGTGTTTTCTTTTTTATTTTCTATCTGGATAACGGATAATCTATCTATCGATGTAATTGGGGTGTTAAAATTCCCCACTACTATTTTGTTAGTGTCAATTTCTCCTTTCATTTTTATTAATATTTGCTATATGTATTTAGGTACTCCTGTGTTTCAGTGCATATATATTTAATATTATGGTATCTTCTTGTGGGATTGATCCCTTTATTATTATGTAATGTCCTTCTTTGATTCTTATTACATCTTTGTTTTAAATCTATTTTGTATTGTATAAGCATTGCTACCCCAGCTTTTTTTTTTTTTTTCTATTTACATGGAGGCGTTTTATATCTCCTCACTTTCACTCTGTCTTTAGATCTGAAGTGAGTCTGTAGTAGGGAGTGTGTAGGTGGGCTTTGTTTTTTATTCATTCCAACCACTCTACATCTTTTGAATGGACAATGTAGTTTATTTACTTTTATTGATTTGTAGGTGTGTACTTGTTGCCATATTCTTAATTGTTTGGGGGTTGTTTTGCCATCCTTTTTTTCTTCTTTTGCTCTCTGCCCTTGGAATTTGATGACTATCTTTATTGTTATATTTGGATTCCTTTTTCTTTTTATGTGTGTGTATCTATTTTAGGGGTTTAGTTTCTGGTTACCATAAGATTCATATCATATGTATATGATGCATCATATGCATTTCTCATGATATAATCTGCATATAAATTAAATAAGCAGAGTGACAATATACAGCCTTGAGGTACTCCTTTCCTGATTTGAAACCAATCTGTTTTTTCATGTCCAGTTCTAACTTTTGCTTCTTGACTTGCATACAGATTTCTCAGGAGGCAGGTCAGGTAGTCTGGCATTCCCATCTCTTTAAGAATTTCCCACAATTTCTCATGCATCCAACCTGGGCTGGTGATCTGTTTCACCCTTGATAGTATACTTGTTTAAGTGCTATTCTCTCAGAATATCCCACCCTCGGCTTTCCCACAGAGTCTAAAAGTCTGTTCTGTACATCTGTGTCTCTTTTTCTGTTTTGCATATAGGGCTATCATTACCATCTTTTTAAATTCCATATATATGCATTAGTATACTGTATTGGTCTTTATCTTTCTGGCTCACAATTTCTTCTGATCCACACAATCAGTGGCTTTGGCATAGTCAATAAAGCAGAAGTAGATGTTTTTCTGGAACTCTTGCTTTCTCTATGATCCAATGGATGTTGGCAATTTGATCTCTCATTCCTCTGCCTTTTATAAATCAAGCTTGAACATCTGGAAGTTCACAGTTCAAGTACTGTTGAAGACTGGCTTGGAGAAATTTGAGCATTATTTTGCTAGTGTGTGAGATGAGAACAATTCTGTGGTAGTTAGAACATTCTCTTGCATTGCTCTACTTTGGGATTGGAATGAAAACTGACCTTTTCCAGTCCTGAGGCCACTGCTGAGTTTTCCAAATTTGCTGGCATATTGAGTGCAGCACTTTCTCAGCATCATCTCTTAGGATTTGAAATAGCTCAACTGGAATCCCATCACCTCCACTAGCTTTGTTCATAGTGATTCTTCCTAAGGACCACTTGACTTGGCATTCCAGGATGTCTGGCTAGAGCCAGACATCATGATCACACCATCATGATTATCTGGGTCGGGAAGATCTTTTTTGTATAGTTCTTCTGTGTATTCTTGCCACCTCTTCTTAATATATACTGTTTCTGTTAGGTCCGTATCATTTCTTTCCTTTTTTGTGCCCATCTTTGCATGAAATATTCCCTTGGGATCACTTAATTTTCTTGACGAGATCTCTATTCTTTCCCATTCTGTTGTTTTCCTCTATTTCTTTGCATTGATCACTGAGGAAGGCTTTCTTATCTCTCCTTACTATTCTTTAGAACTCTGCATTCAGATGGGTATATCTTTCCTTTTCTCGTTTGCCTTTTGCTTCTCTTCTTTTCACAGCTATTTGTAAGGCCTCCTCAGACAATCAGTCTGCTTTTTTGCATTTCTTTTTCTTGGGGCTGGTCTTGATCCCTGTCTCCTATACAATGTCATGAACCTCCGTCCATAGTTCTTCAGGCACTCTTATCAGATCTAATCCCTTGAATCTATTTGTCACTTCCACTGTATAATCATAAGGAATTTTATTTAGATCATACCTGAATGGTCTAGTGGTTTCCTCCACTTTCTGCAGTTTCAGTCTGAATTTGGCAATAAGGAGTTCTTGATCTGAGCCACAGTCAGCTCCCAGTCTTGTTTTTGCTGACTGAATAGAGCTTCTCCATCTTTGGCTGCAAAGAATATAAGTAATCTGATTTTGGTGTTGACCATCTGGTGATGTCCATGTGTAGAGTCTTCTCTTGTGTTGTTGTAAGAGGGTGTTTGCTATGACCAGTGCATTTTCTGGTAAAGCTCTGTTAGCTTTTGCCCTGCTTTATTCTGTACTCTGAGGCCAAACTTGCCTGTTACACCAGGTATTTCTTGACTTCCTACTTTAGCATTCCAGTCCCCTATAATGAAAGGACTTGTAGTTTGTAGCCACACCAAACTCTGTGGGTACAGATCATCATGTAGAAATAAATTTGTTATTATAGATGTTCTGGGCTTCCCATGTGGCGCTAGTTGTAATGAACCCTCCTGCCAATGCAGGAGACATCAAAGATAAAAGTTACATTCCTGGGTCTTGAAGATCCCCTGGAGAAGGGAATGGCAACCCACTCCTTTATTCTTTCCTAAGAATCCTATGGACAGAGGAGTCGGGCAACCTACAGTCCATAGGGTCCCAGTGAGTCAGACATAACTATAGTGACTTAGCATGCACAGAGTAGATGTTCTATTTCTTTTTTTTATTTTTATTTTTTTATTAGTTGGAGGCTAATTACTTTACATTATTGTAGTGGTTTTTGTCATACATTGACATGAATCAGCCATGGATATACATGTATTCCCCATCCCGATCCCCCCTCCCACCTCCCTCTCCACCCGATCCCTCTGGGTCTTCCCAGTGCACCTCTTGAAGATAGATCAATTTCAGATAGATGTTCTGTTTCATCTTTTTCATATGAATGCATTCATTTGCTTTTGGACATCAGAGATACATCTTCAAGATTATTAAATTAGAACTACTTTCTTGTGTATAATTTAGGTTCTCTGTCTCTATGGGACAGCCTGTGTACTGCTGTCTCATTTTTATCTTACTCTTAATGTTATACCTCATTCCTAATTACAAGAGACTATCCAGTTTAATAATACAGACTCATACATGATGGGCCTTTTTTTTCTAATGTTGTATTTCATTGAGTTTAAGAACTGTGTACACCTTCAATACCATATACTTGCATTTTTTTCCAGATTGCTTATAACTGTTTTATATTCCCTATTATCTTGAATGTGAGAAAGTCTAACAAGTAGTCAAATTACATCACTCTTTTGTTTTTGTCAGGTTATAAGCCTTTGTCATTAATTTATAATAATAGCACTGTATGAATAAAATATATAGTACATACTGTTTAAGAATAGAGTCACTGAAAATACTAGTCACCTCTCTCCTTCAGTATTTGCTGTCACTCAGCTTGGGTTAATAAATTTATAGTTATTACTGTGAGTATTTACTATAAAGCATAGAAATAGATACTACTAAGTCCACATTATTTTACATTATGCATGCACCATTGAATGCTATGAGGGCAACAAAATGACTGCCTGTATTTATAAGAACATGAATTCCTTTTTTTATAAAGGCTATACGTTTCAAATGTTTCATAGTAGACCAAATCATTTGTATATAAAATTGAATATATATGTATCATATATATTCAATGAATATTTTTCAGAATACCCTACTTAAATTTTTCTCTTTTATAAATACCTAAAGATTATGAGTATATAATTAAAAATTTATCTTAAGAATTCTATATGATCTTAAGAGAAACTGGATGAGAAGGCACATCTCCTTCTGTATAAAAAGTCATTGTCAGTTTCTAAATGGAAGCTACTACTCAGCATTCTTTGACTCCTCCCCAAATATGCAGTGTTTGATGCCAAAACATGGGGAAAATGTTCTTAGGACCTAAGGCAATGGTGGAGAAAGATCTTCTGTTTTAAAATTAAATCATAATGATTTTTACTTTATTTCTGCCTGTGTACCTGAAAAACAAAGTTATTCCATACATTTATGAACTTTAATTTTAAAGCTGAGGTATAGGTAAATATCTAAATTTCCAGAATCACATGCTAGTGAGTTCTTTACAGCTACATAAAACTCATCCTTGATAATACATTTACTATCGGAAATTTTGCCATTTTGACATATCAAGCCCAAAGAAATTTTTGTTCCAAAACATGGATATTGTATAAATTATAGGGATTATATTCCAGGAAAGNAGTGAGTTCTTTACAGCTACATAAAACTCATCCTTGATAATACATTTACTATCGGAAATTTTGCCATTTTGACATATCAAGCCCAAAGAAATTTTTGTTCCAAAACATGGATATTGTATAAATTATAGGGATTATATTCCAGGAAAGAATAAATTGCCAGTATTAGAATGGCCAAAACATTCATTCATAACATCTTATGGAAAAGCCCAAAGTTTCTGGTCAACTCAATATTTCTAAAAGCAAGATAAAATTAATATAGATATGCAGTATCCAATATGTGAAAAGCAAGTTTTATTTTGGCCAAATGATGCCAATGAATTCCTATTTAAACTAAAGATTAAGCTCCCTGAATCTGAAGAGAATAAAATCTGAGATAAATGATCATGTTTCATTTTTGTGTCTTAATAAGCTCAATATGACACCTGTTTGAGCAGAAAATGTAGGATCATGGCTTCCTTTTGAAATATCCAATAGTAAGAACCTATTTAAGGAAATGGAATTTTTTCTTTTGCATATATTTGTGTGTGTGTGATGTGTATTGTGTTTGTCAAAGTCAATTTTTTTCATTGTTCTTGCTCGTATTTTGCTCTTCTAGCAGTGTCCAGAATTCAGCTTGTAAGATACCCAAGTGATGATAAGACTGTAAGATTCAAAGAGATGTCACCAACTCTGAGTGATAAGCAAGACTCACAGCTAAAGTTAATGGAAAAGCACAGCCACAACGTTTTTTCAAACCCAAATACTTTCATGGATGAGAAGCATCACAGAAATGCCAGCCACAAAATTTCTGTCTGTAAGAGTTGTTACACAGACTATAGATACCAACAAAGATTTCAGAGTTCCAGGTGTCAAATGAGTCCTATTCATTTCCTAAATCCTCAGGGTTACACCTCTGAATTTTTGGTGCCTGTCTACCACCCTACTTCCATGAGCCCTTGGTTTGCTGTATGCCCCAAGACTCACAGAAATAATACAAACACTTTAGACACTGGAGCTCTTATATGTTCTAAATGTTTTGTACAAATCAATAATTTTTCTTTTCATAAGTGTCTCATTAATTCTGATGATGATTCAGACCATGACTGTCCTTTACATCTCCAAGTTCCCTTGGATTCTAAATATTCTTTGAGTTCCAGATCTATTAGTCACCACAAGACTTCTCAGAACAGCCCTTTATCTCGATCCTTGGATCCTGAGCAACCTGTGGGCATCCGCTGCCCTTTCCACTGGGAGGATTATAAATATTCTTTGGGCTCAACTTCTTTTTTACACTGTGAAAGTTGCTCAGCTCTCCAGAATCTCATGGGTTCTACTGTTACTCATACCTTTCCAGTGAATCCTCAAAATAATATCAGCCACCATAGTACCCCTGGCCCAGGCAATGTCATCCACACCAGCAGCGTTGCTGGCCTTGAAAGCGAGGGTAAGTTTAAATTTACTGCCAAATTTGAAAATGAGGCCAATCCTGATGAGACTAAATTGGTCAATACTGGCAATCTCAAAGATAAGGCCAAAGACAAGCCTCTTTTTAAAGATGAGGAAAACCATGAAGATGAGACAGACTCTGAAGATGAGAAAGAGCCTGAAGATGAAACAGACCCTGAAGATGAAAGCAATACCAAAGACAGGAAAGATCCCAAAGATAAGTCTGACCCTGATAACACTGATCCAAAAGATAGTAATGCTGAAAATGATGCAGACACAAGCAATGAGTCTGATCCCAGTGGTGATGCTGACTCTACCAGTGGAGCTGATTCTACCAGTGAAGGTGACTCTAACAGTGGAACTGAATCCAACAGTGAACCTGACTCTAACATTGGTAATGCCAGTAACAATGATGCTAACTCCAAATGTAACACTGATTTTGAGGAAAACAAACACACCAACAATTCACAAAATGTCTTTGTCCTAGATATTGATGTTTATCAAGAGTGTACTGCTGACTCCAATAATGACTCTAATCCCAACTACACCTCTGGATTCCAAAATGGAGCTGGCCCAGACTGCACTTCTGGTTCCTGCAAGGGTGCTGGCTTCAGCATTGGTTCCAGCAGTATCATTGGCCTCAACAATAGACTTGGCCCCAACAATGCACCTAGCCCTAACATTAATGAATCTGGCCTCCAGAACAATGGCTCTGGACCCCAAAATATAAGACTGCATCCCTTCAGCCCTGGATTCAGCAGCAGTGTCTCTGGCCCCAACATTAATGGCCTTAGACCCAATAATATCCCTGTCCTAAACAGCAATAACCCTGGCCTCAACAATAATAGCCCTGGTCCCAATAATAATAGCTCTGGCCTTGAAAAAAACCCTAATTCTAGCTATAATGCCAGGCTTAGTAATGCTACTAGTCACAATATTGCTTTCAGTCCTAACAAGGATGCTAACTCCATCTATGAAACAAAATTCATCAGTGCTGCTGGCCACAACTATGTAACTATTTCAAACTGCGGTTCAAACCTTAAATATGTCCCAGGATTTACCCATGCAGTAGGTTCTAATTTTGTAGATAACCGCAACTATATTGCCAGAAATAGCTATGCTGACAGTCCCAGCTCTACTTCTAGCACTGTCAATGTCACTGACACCAGTTACACCACTATTTTCACTAGTGCTATTAGCCCTACTTATACCAACTGTGCCTCAGACACTAACCATGAGCCCAGATTTACTCATATCATTGGCTCCAACTTTGTCATCAACCCCAATTATCATATCATAAATACTTATCATAATTCTAGTACCAGCAATGCTAGTAATCTCTCTGAGACCAAATTGGACATCAATCCCAGTTCCTCTATTCCTAACATTGTTTATAGTAACTCCTCAGTTTTTGTTGCTGACAGTAACTATATTTCTACTCCGTTGACCACCTCTAAATTTTCTGATCCACCTAAGCTTGATAGGAGTTATACAATTTTTGATGACTACAAATTTGGTGCCTGTTTCAAAGATTATCCTGGCCCCATGGATTCTATTAGTTTTAAGCATGCTACTGAGTTCAAGGATGTCCTTGATGCCAAGGAATCTGGCTTTTTAAAAGATTTCTCTGAGGTCCAGAATCCCATTGTTATCAAGGAAATTGCCAGCTTAAACTTTCACTCCAATTCAAATATTCCACTCCTTAGTTTTGATATTATAGTAGAAGCTGAACCACCAGATGTTGTGAAGTTTGTCATGCCATCAGGTGCTGTGAATCAGTTTTTTAAGGTAAGTTTATACAAATGTAGATTTTATTTTCTCTACATTTCCTACAATTCAGAGGATTACTCTGGAACAGGATTTTAAAAACTCTATTTTTATTTACTTGGATATTCAAACCATGGAAAACAGGGAGACAAGGTGTCCAGTATTACTCCTCCTTTGACCTTGTAGCCAACAACATGGTTTTCCATTAAAAGATCAAGCTGCTAAACAACTGACAAATAGGAAAATGGTCTTGATTGCACTGTGACTGGTTAATCTGCCACTTTATCAAGGGTTGCATAACATACTATCTAAATCTAGTAATGTTTTACCTACTTCCTCTCACCTGTACATGGCCACCTGTACATGGCCTGGTGTTGGTTCTTTCCTTATATGTGCAGAGAGAAAATATAGTTAAATGAACTTTAAATACCATGGATCAAGACATTTTAAAACAACTATCTCTCAAAAAATCCCATTTTATGAAGAAGGTTGTTCAGAACTAGTCATGATATTCTAATCTCCCACTTAAATAAATAAAATTTAAATTAATTAGATGAAATGATATTGGGGAGCAAAAAACCCCAAACCTTTGATACTTTTGACTTAAAATTTACTTTATCTTATTTCCCCTGAAAATAAGTAAAACAAATATATTTTAACAAGTCTTTATCAAATGTTTCTTCCAGCACTCTGAATTGCATACACAAAGATTGCTGTTTGACCAGCGCCAAGTAATATTCTTTTTGATGAAACTTTACCAAGATGTTGTCATTGAGACATAATTTAGTATGCTTGGAATTTTATCCTTGTTATACTTCTTTAGATGTGATGAACAAATATACTTAACTTGAATTGTTGTGTCTGTGTTCATAAGTGTGCAACTTGAAATAACTGTTTTCTATTAGGATGTGTCAGTGAATCTAACTGTATATTCAAAATAAGGCATATATTCTTTTTTTTTTTTAATTTGAAATCTTTTTTTTTAATTTTTATTAGTTGGAGGCTAATTACTTTACATCATTACAGTAGTTTTTGTTATACATTGAAATGAATTAGCCATGGATTTACATGTATTCCCCATCCCAGTCCCCCCTCCCACCTCCCTCTCCACCCTATCCCTCTGGGTCTTCCCAGTGCACCAGGCCCGAGCACTTGTCTCATGTACCCAACCTGGGCTGGTTATCTGTTTCACCCTAGATATTCTTATAACCAAAATGAAAGTACAAAATCAGTATCTTCTTAATGCTCCTATACTTTAATAGAGGAGAATTTTGTGATTTTCCCAAGAGAACACACCTCCCAGGAAATAGTTGCAATTGCTTAGTGTGTGTGTGTGTGTGTGTGTGTGTGTGTGTGTGTGTGTGTGTGTGTGTGTATAGCTTCTCTATAGGTAAACGTAAGGTTAATGTTGGCCAGTGATAATAAAAATAATATTGCTCAGATACAAGACTTAACATTAGAGAAAAAAAAGAGATGTTTTTTCCAGGTGTTTTCCACAAATGAAATTTTACAGCAGTATGAATGCATTTAAATATGCTTTATTTTATGGCTTTTATGTTTTAGCTAAATGAAAATATGATTATAATAAGTTTTAGCTTACTAGTTAAGGAAGGTAGCTAACATTTTGCAGTTCAAATCATAATATCTAAGAGCTGTTTCCTAAATTGGGATATGTAAAATATGTTGGTTTTGGCTGAAAGCTATACACAAAAAATCAAATTTTTAATGGAGGATACTTGATTCCCCGAAAACATAATAATAAAAAGTTGTTCTTAATAAAACTTAATAGACTACCACAAATACTATGCTGTGGGTACATACATTCCAACCTACTGACTATGGCTATGTAACGGAAATATATGCAACTACTTTATTTTCATTGAAGACAGATAAACTTCACAGTACATTCATCAGTAGCTTGAGAAACTATGTATTTTGCATGCCTTCACTAACAAAGTATTTTTCTGGAAAAAATAGGTCATTGTCTTCCCTTAGAGCTTTGATATTTTCATATATTCCTGGTTTGTTACATCCTTTCCATACTTACCTCACAAACAATTATAATGGGGATTACAAAAGTGCTTTTCCCACTCAAACAATTTAAGAAGTGAGAGAAGCTCACTTCAAAGGAATATTTTTTTAAATTTACCAATTACAAGTGAACCAAACAGTCAGCTCAGTATCAGAACACATAGTCAAGCCACTTATACCATCTTCATTCATTCCATCATTAAGCTTTTAATAATTAAATAGCGCAGAATGCTTTAAGAACATACAGACTAAGTGAAAAAATAGTCCCCTTTAAAGCACTTGAAGCCTACTTTTCTTAACAGGAAAACAAGTGGGTGTTTGAAGGTAGAAACTATATGAAGACAAATAAATAGCATTTTACTGAGTTTCCAGAATGGTTAGAAACATTTTGGATGCTTAGATCACAACATGTCACCAATGTATTAAAATAGTTGTAAATATGTATGTGTGGACTATTACTCTGGTTTGCACTTTTCAGAAACAACCAAAATTGTAACTCCTGAAATTTGTCTTTCTTTATGTGAAGTTTATCATTGACTTCTATGGATAGTGGTATTAGAACTATGTTACTCAGAGTCTACAGTCATTTGATAAGTTATCTAGTTACAATTCTGCAGAAACAATCTGATTCCATATAAAAGATAAAATTAGTAGTTTGCCTTTCTTAAACTGTGAAAATAGCTTTGATTTATTAATAAAATTTGCTCAAGGATTTAATTAACTTAAGTCCTTGACAGGTCCAAATGTACAGAAGAGTTGCATTAAGGTCATTCAAAGTGGTGACACTTCTAATTTATAGTAGATTTTTTTTAAGTACAAAGATGAGTTAGTAGTGACACTGAAGAAAAAATTTTCACATAGTACAGTCTATTATAATGAGAGTTGTGTGAATATGGAGTTATTCAGACCTTCCTAGCAGTAGTGTCTGAAAATACGAATCAAATATGTTATGCTATTTGCACCAAAATTCTCTTGAATTAGTAAATGCTTCAAAAATTAACCACAAAAATGCTTTTGTTTATAAGTATCATGAGTATTTGAGGAAGTCTTTGTTCAAGAAAGGCTTAATTTGCAGTATGTCTTCAAAGTGGCCAAAATTTTTCATACTTTCAACTCAAAATGGTCTACTTAGTATATTATTTCCTTTCCATTTATATAGCCAGGAATGTTCATGAATAAGTTTAATTCATCTGCTTAATATTTATTGAAATAAATTTTAGTTAAGCCAATCCTTTAGGCAGATAAATATAGTACCCATGTATTCCAAATAATCAAAGCAATCTCTTGCCTAATACCTTCTTAATTAAATATATTTACATGCAAATAAACTATTTTTCCATTCCTAGCTTTTTAGGAATTTGTTGTGTTTTGTTTCAGTGGAAGACAAGTTTTCTGGGGATTTGGAGTCTAAGATACAGCCAAATCATCTCCTACCCAAAGATACTGGCAACTTAATCAAGGTCTGTTAATTGTTAAGCTACTTTAATGAGGCCATCTGTGCACCAAACTTTTTTATAAAGTCACTCTCTTATACATCAATTTGATAATATTTCTTTATAATACTAAAGTGCTTCCATGGTGTCTTATTGCTGGATTCCTTGTCATATAGGATAGGGTCCTCAAAGTGTTCAATTGTGATAGTCAACTCCTTTTGAGATGAATCAGTAAAATATCTCAAATTGAATATAACAAAATAATATTGAACAAATCAACAATGTCCCTTCTGCTGACTATGTGACCTGCTGCTTTCTGAATAATTTGGGAGAAAATGATCGTTAATCAGGTAAAGATCAAGGTTTCAGATTGAATCCAGCCTCTTTCCTATATCTGCACTATTGTGTAGTTTTCTGAGCCAGCCATAAAATCTACAGTGACTCTGGTGAGCAATCCAAAGGAGAACCAGTTGCCCCAAGCTCAAAGTAAAGAGCACTTTGTTACTGCCCCTTTTGCAGAAAATTTGCCAATAACCTTCTTTCTGTAGGAATTTCGGGATATATATTTTTCCTAATGGCTCAAGTTCCTTGGCCCAGCCCCCTCGAATATAGCAATGGGATCAATGATGCATTATATCTAGACACATAGAAAAAGTCAGACCACATCAACTTGAGTCCAAATATTGGTAAGGACTAAACTGGGAGAACCTAAAGACAGTATGTTATTCAGCATCATATATCTTAAATAATTGACTTAAGAGGCATTTTATTCTCAAAAAATATTTCACTAGAATTTTAAATTCCAAAAATGTTTGCTGCAGTGATACAAGTGTGCACTCGACAACTGCAGAATCTATATAATCTGCCATGTGTTCCGTTTGAAAAACTAAGGCAGCTGTGTCTAAATTTGTTACATTTTCTACTTAGAGGGACAAGTTATAGACCAAATTTTCCAAAGTTTTAAAGCCTGAATTTGGATGTCAAAGACAATAAATGTGAAATGATTAAACAAGCAAAGCATGAAATCTCTCGTGAATAAAGTCAACCAATCTACTACTAAAGATATCTGGGTTCATTAAGTGGATGTTTAAAGGATAAAGCTTGTTTATCCAGTGTAGTACAGTTCCTCAATGAAATGAAGAGTGGGGAATAAGAAGGCAGCAGTAAGAAAGCAGTATATTGGAGAAGGCAAATTAAATAATGTTATATGGAGAAAGAAAGAGCAATATTGTAGAATAATAAACATGATCGCAGTAATCCTTACTGTGTTTTTTTCACATTGCTGAATCCCAATATGTTCTGGCTAATCTAGGTTCATTTGTAAAAGAAATATTTTTCTTTGTACTCCTCATCTTCCCTTATCTCATCACATACACACAACACAATTTCAGACTTTTCAAAGTTGTAACTACCAAAAATATAAGCACCTTATTTTAATAGACACTCAGTTATTTACCGCTAGCTTATGTTTTTCTTTTTCTGAGGTCACTCTATTTCCCTGACCTTCCTACTCCACTCAGAAAGTAACTATTCTATCAAGCTGTTCTGAGCCAACTCTACTGCATAGCTGCTGACTCTGGAAGCTTGACCTTCTAATATATCCCCAATCACCTCCTTTTTACCCGTATCTCACAGAAAGTCTACACACACACAAACACACACACACACCCCACATATAACTTCCTCTGCTTTTGTGTTACTTTAAGGGCCATTGCCATCTAAGTTTTTATGGTAACTTAATAAGAAAATAATTTTATTACAAATGATTAAATTACAAATGAATTTCTGGAATACAACTTTTATTCATAAATTGGGAACAATCTATATTTATTCACACCTGCTATTTCGGTAGATCCTGAATAAAATATGGTTAGTCAAGTAATAAGTGAAGTGTAAACAACAGAAGAAACCAGCACTAGCATTATTTTATTTCATCTCATAAATGCTATATTACCAATGTCTACAGGTCACAGTCAAGAAGCACATTTCATTCAACTTAACTGCATAATAGTAGATAATCAGACAAGCAAAGAATTGCTCTAGGCCCTTAAAATGTCATTTCTAAATACTTTCATAATATTATGAATCTGAAAAAAGTTGACTAAGATTTGTTAATTGTGAGAATTTTAAGCAAAAGTTCAGAAAAAATCCAATTTTCAATATGATTATTTTCATGATTTCATATTACTCTTGAATATAGTTTATACACAGAATATGATAAGACATAAAATATTGGAGAAACATCAATATTGAAATTGGAAAATGCATAAAATTTAAGGTAAATCTTCAGACAGCTATTTAATAACCAACATTTAATAACACTGTCTGAAATGCATTCTTGAGTTTCGTATGTATTAGTTTATTTAATCCTAACAGCCCTATGATGTTACATAATTTTCCCTATTATCCCTATTTTACAGATGAGGAAACTGAGACATTATGTACTGAAGTAATTTTTATGATCATATAGCTACTAAACAAAAACAAATCAGAACCTAAAATTAAAAATTTAGAGTTAATTATATTTTAATAATATGTAATTAAAAGTGTCAAGTATGGTAAATATTGTGTTAATCTAATCTTAGCAGATAGCTAGGTTACAAAATGAGCATTAATGTGGTTCTATTTTAGTATTTTAAGATATAATATTATGCCTATAATTGTAAAGTCATCACAGTAGCTTCTTGGGCATTGTTTCGGAGCTTTCAAGGCTCATGATACCCAATATTTTCTTTAAGTAATTACTTAAAGTAGTCTGAAGATAAAAATGTTTTTCTTTCATTACCACTTTTAACTCCCAAGTTTTTTTGTTTGTTTTTTACCCTATTATTGCAGCTCAACCTCCAGACAGGTAGCAGAGAAAACCTCCGCCCTTGATTAATGAAAAGAATACGTTGAGATGGAAAAGACAAAGACAGCAAAGAAGGTTTTGAGGATATGAGCAAATAACTTCAAAAATTGCAGAGTTCCATGGGCAGTATTTATTATATGTTCTTTCTCACATCCTCCTTCCCATTATATTACCATGTCTTTATTGTCCTTTGGGGCCAACAATGTTGCTTTAACATATATTGTGACAATTGCCCCATTCATCTTCTTTGCTTCTGGCAGACTCTAGAATTAGGAAATGGTCCTTTCTAGCAATCCTATACAAATATATTGTTAATGACTCAAAAGTGCAGTTAGATTTTTCAGCCAGAACTTCTTTCCATCTTTTGTGTAAGTTTCCTTCTCCAGAAGATGATCTTAACATTTAACAAATCTTGCAATAGATGCTTTTAATATTGTAATGACCACTCTAGGTTTTATACCACCCACAATCAATTAATATTTTATTGTTACTGTTGTTTATTATTGTTATAGTTTTATGAATGTGGTAAACAAAATTAAAATAGTTGAGACTCATCAGTATTGTTCATTGTTTGCTTAACTTGCTATTTTCCCATTCAACCTTGTTAACCTAGGAAAACTGATAATATCTGTCCTTTATCAATTTATCACCACTCTCTCTGTATGCTTATTTTTTATTACTTAAATCTAACCCTTTGTTCCAACTATATGAGTCTCCTCACTTTTTCCCTACAGTTTTCCTTATATATACAGGCCCCATATTGTTTTTGGTACATTTCCTCAATTCAAGACCTACCTTATCCACAAAGCTTCACACTTCTATAAACAATATTGATCCTTCCATTCCCAAGTTTCTGTTCTTCAGGTCAGCTGAGAAAGATCATAGCACACTTGGGGAACTGCCCGTACTTAGCGTGCATTATAGTCCATGATGATCAGGGACTGATGAGAAATGAGATTGGAAAAATAACTAGGAAATTTGTCACAATAGAAAATCTAGATTTTACTCCAGGGGTGATAGGTAACCCTTAAAAGATTTAAGTATGGTGGCAATATGATCTAATTTAGAGGAATAATGCTGATGGTGGTATGGAGGATGGATTTAAGGAGAAGCCATAAGGGAGTGATAATAAAGCACACCTGCGTGATAGTCCAGACTCTAATTCAAAAGGACTTGAAATAAATCTGTAAGTAGTAAGAATGCATAGGAGAGAACACATTTGAGAGCTATGATAACAAAACAGTTGGAATTACTGGATTATTTGATGTAAGAGAAAGTTTACTGTGACGTTTACTATATTTTTCAACTTTCCAACATGGGAAGATAATGGTACCATTAAGCAAATTGGGAATTAGAGAAGAATGAGAAGAGAGAAGGAGGTGTGGGGTGATACCATAGTTTTGAATTAAGATGGAGATTCCTGAGTAACATTTGGGTTATGATATTGAAAATCCATCTAAGATAAGCCCTGACCTTTAATATACTCTAGATGTAGAAGATATAAAAAACACACAGTGTTAGGAATTCCTCATATGTTGGGGTCCTTTAATGGGCTAGAACCTGGTGGTCTGGAGTCGATGATAAGAAAGTGAAAGAAGGAAAGAGGCTAATATTCCCTGGGTTACGCAGCCAGCATTCACATTCCAGGGAATCAGCCAGAAATAGAGAGAGAGAGAGAGAGAGAGAAGGACACGGGGACCCAAGTCTCTGGTGGAGCAAGGGTGCTTTATTGAATTCTGTAAGAGAATGTATACCGTAAAACAAGGTAGCTTCTTCAGATAAAGATCAAGAGACCAGATTTTACAAGTTACCCACGAAGCAAGGAGCAATAGAGGCCATAAGGCCAAAAGGCGATCCATATCAAAAGAGGGTCGTAAACAATCCTTTTCACCAAATGGAAAAGCTAGTGGAGGAAATCCTATGCAAGCACCCCATCTCTTTGATCTCCGTCCTGGGAGCAGCTTGCCTGCTCCTCTCTCCCCTGACATGGACCAATAAGGAACAGAGGGCTCAAGAGAGATAGGAAACAGCACAGAGGAATCCTACTGTTAAACATTCCCTGACATTCATATACATATAAGGTTAACCATTTCAGGAAGCATTATCACAATATTTAATCTTAACATTTATCATTTAAAGTCATCATCACATATAGTACATAAAAATATGGAAATAAAGGCTTCAAAAACAAATATGTTGTCCAAAGCCACAGATATAATAATTGGAAGAACTTGGAACTAGAACACTTTTATGGCAGTTATGGGTTCCAGAAAGTAATCCATGGCTCAAAGAAAATGTTCATAACAGAAATTCTATTTCCTTGATATTCAGAGCTCTGACATTTTATGTTAATTTAAAAACAAAAAAAAAAAGCCCAAGAAGAAAATATTATATTTTACATAAAAAATGACTATGGATATAATTAATCTTTACAGATTTATGTGCTTTGCCTGAATAGTCATAAATTACCTAAAAAATAAATTGCCTTTTTTTTTCATTTTTTATTTTGGTGAAATACACATAACACAAAATTTACCATATTAATCATTTTAAATGTGTAGATTAGTGGCATTAAATACATTCACAACCATCACCACCATCTACCACAACTCTTTTCATCTGATAAAACTGAAACTCTTACCTGTTAAACAATAACTCCCCATTTCCCCTTCCTTAACCCCTGACAACCACTTTCTATTTTCTGTATTTATGATTTTGACTACCCTAAGTACCTTATATAGTGGAGTGATACAGTTTGTGACTGGCTTCTTTCGCTTAGCATAATGTCCTCAAATTTCTTCCATGTTGCAGCATATGTTAGGATTTCCTCATTTTCTAAGGCTGAGTAATATTCCACTGTATGTATATACTGCATTTTACTTATCTAGTCATCCAACAATGGACACTTGGGTTACTTTCACATTTTAGCTTCAGTGAATGATGCTTCTCTGAACATAGATCTACAAATATGTCTTTAAGACCCTGTTTTTATTTCTTTTCAGTATATACCCAGAAGCAGAATTGCTTCATCATGTGGTAATTTTAATTTTTTGAGGAACTGCTGTATTTTCCACAACATCTATACCATCCTATATTACCATCAGTAGTGCACAAGGATATCAATTTTCTACACATCCTAGACAACACTTATATTCTGGATATTTTTGGTAGGTGCCTTTCTACGTACATACAAGTGTAAACTGGAATCTAACTGTAGTTTTGATTCACATTTTCCTAATGATTAGTGATATTGAGCATCTTTTCATTCACATATTGGCTATTTTCTATCTTCTTTGGAGAAATGTCTATTTAAGTCCATTGCCCTGTTTTGAACCAGGTTATTTGATTTTTGTTGTTGAGCATTAGGAGATCTCCACATATTTTAAGTTAGACATGGCTGTGGTCCGTGTGATCAGATTGGCTAGCTATCTGTGACTGTGGTTTCAGTCTGTCTGCACTCTGATGCCCTCTCTCAGTGCCTACTGTCTTACTTTGGTTTCTCTTAACTTGGATGTGGGGTATCTCTTCATGGCTGCTCCAGCAAAGCACAGCCACTACTCCTGACCTTGGACGTGGGGTAGCTCCTCTCGGCCACTCCTGCGACACAGGACTTGAAAAGGTCAGTTTTCATTGCAATCCCAAAGAAAGGCAATGCCAAAGAATGCTCAAACTACCTCACAATCGCACTCATCTCATACGCTAGTAAAGTAATGCTCAAAATTCTCCAAGCCAGGCTTCAGCAATACATGAACCGTGAACTTCCAGATGTTCAGTCTGGTTTTAGAAAAGGCAGAGGAACCAGANATGTGAGAGTTGGACTATAAAGAAAGCTGAGCACCAAAGAATTGATGCTTTTGAACTGTGGTGTTGGAGAAGACTCTTGAGAGTCCCTTGGACTGCAAGGAGATCCAACCAGTCCATCCCAAAGGATATCAGTCCTGGGTGTTCATTGGAAGGACTGATGTTGAAGCTGAAACTCCAATATTTTGGCCACCTGATGCAAAGAGCTGACTTATTTGAAAAGACCATGATGCTGGGAAAGATTGAGGGCAGGGGGAGTAGGGGACAAAAGAGGATGAGATGTTTTGATGGCATCACCGACTCAATGGACATGAGTTTGGGAAAACTCTGGGAGTTGTTGATGGACAGGGAGGCCTATCGTGCTGCGGTTCACGGGGTCCCAAAGAGTCAGACACAACTGAGTGACTGAACTGAACTGAACATATTCTGAATATTATTCTCTTATCAAATACCTGTTTTGCTAATATTTTCTCCTGTTCTGTTGGTTGTCTTTTTACTTTGTTGATATTGCATTTTACTGAGCTTTAAAAAAATTCATGAGGTCCAATTTGTGTGTGTGTGTGTTTTTTTTCCTTTGTTGCCTGTGCTTTTAGTGTCATATCCAAGAAACCACTACCATATCCAATATTGTGACTCTTTTGTCCTGTTTTCCTCTAAGAATTTTGTAGTTTTATGTTTTATGCTTAGGTTTTTGATCCATTTAAAAATATTGTATATGGTGTTAAGTGGCACAGGGTTAAAGAATCCATCTGCCAATGCAGAGGATGCAAGAGACGCAGGTTCAGTCTCTGGGTCGGGAAGATCCCCTGGAGTAGGAAATGGCAACTTGCTCCAGTATTCTTCCCTGAAAGATTCCATGGAAAAAGCAGCCTAATGAGGTACAATCCATGGGATCACCAAGAGTCGGACACACATGATTTGATAGTGTTAAGTGTCCGACTTCACTCTTTTGTATGTGGATATACAATTGTTCCAGCATCATTGCTTGAAAAGAGAGTGCTTTCACTATTAAATTGTCTTGGCATCTTTGTCAAAAATTATTTGACCATGTATATGATCATTTATTTCTGGACTTTCTGTTCTTTCTATAGAGCTTCCCTGGTGGCTCAGATGGTAAAGTATCTGCCTGCAGTTTGGGAGACCTGGGTTCCATCTCTGGGTTGGGAGGATCCCCTGCAGAAAGGAATGAATGTATTTATGCCAGTTTTGATGTTTTGATAACTGTCACTTTTTAGTTAGTTTTGAAACCAGAAATTGTTAGTCCTCCACTTTATTATTTTTCAAGATCATTTTAATATCTGGCATCCCTTGACATTCTGTGTAATTTTTAGGATGTGTTTCCTATTTCTGCAAAAATTATCACTGAAATTTTGAAAAAGATTCCATTGAATCTGTATATTACTTTGGGTAGTCTTGACATCTTAGCAATATTCAGTCTTCCAATCCATGATTGTGGGATGTGTTTTCACTTATTTATGTCTTCTTTAATTTTTCAGCAGTGTTTTGTAGATCTCATTGTAGAAGCCTTTAACCTCCTTGGTTGTGTTGGTTCCTAAGTATTTTATTCTTTTTCATGCTATTATAATTGAAATTATTTTCTTAAGCTCCTTCTAAGATTATTGTTAGTGTACAGAATGCAGCGGACTTTTGTATGTTGACTTTATATCCTGCTACTTTGTTGAATTAATTTATTCTAACAATTGTTTTAGTGTAGAATCATAGTTTCCTATGTATAAGATCATATTTCGGGAAAGAGAGATAATTTTCCCTTTTCTTTGCCAAACTGGATGCCTTTTATATATATCTATTTTAATCTAATTTCTGTGACTAGAATTTCCTGCATTGTGTTGAATAGAAGTGGTGAAAGAGGACATCCTTGTTTTGTTTTTGGTCTTAGAAGAAAAAATTTCAGTCTTTCATCTTATATTCCTAGTTTATTGAGTATTTTTATCATAAAAACATATTTTTCCAAAGGATTTTTCTGCATCAGTTCAGATGATCATATGATATATTATATTGATCAATTTCATTTGTTAAAATATCCTTAAATTCTTAAACAAATCCCATTTAGAATGGTGTTTAATGTTTTTACTTCTTTTTATTTTTTAAATTATGAAAATATGATGACACCTTTACAGGATACTTGAAAAATACAGGAAAATTTAAATATATTTCCACTATATATTGCAATTATTTTAAGTAGACAAATAAGAATTTTAGTTGCAGTTTCTATAACAAACTCTTAAAAATTAATAGAAAAAATAAACAGAGAAGTAGAAGGATATAGTAGACCTGAAAAGCACTATGGACCAATTCATCATAATTAAGATTTATACAATTTTCACACAACAGTAGGATACAAATTCTATTCAAGTTCCTATATACTATAAACTGGGAGATGTTGTAACATGTCCAAGGATATAAGAGCAGGTGCAAAAATTTGATGGTCTAAAGGTATTGAAATTGTATAGAATCTGTTCTCTTATTACTGTGGAATTATGTGAATAATATCA